CAAAATGAGTTCTGCAGTATGTAGAGCACAGAACAGCCTCAGTCCATGGCATCGAAGGACCAGCACAGCCCCTCTCCCCAAGGATGCTACTGGAGTTTCAGCTTCAGCTGAGTAACAGGGTGTCACTAGAACTCTTGACAGAAGGAGGGTCTGTGTGAGCCCTTTTCATTGCAAAGAGATTCCAGACTGTGGTATTAAACTCTGCTAATTCTGATACAAAAGACCCACCCCAAAACCAGASAGCGAACCCCATGTAATTTTTCTTATTTAAATACAATTTCACAGTGCTATTTTCAGAATATCGGAAGATTTCAAAATGAAAGATTAAAAATCTGCACTCAAATAACCATATAAATTCTGCTGAAATTACTATACACACACACATATATACAATCTCTATATATGTATATGTATGTAATGAGCACAGGTTATGCAAATACACTCTACAATGTATATTTATATGGAAGTGAAGTCATGTACCATGCRATTGACCTTCTTTAGATTGCCAGTTCTTTATGGTAAGCATAATTTTTTTTGTCTTGTGCTGATCCATTGTCTGGCAGGACGGGTAGGGTTCCAGGATGCTCCTTGGACTTCTGGCCAAGTGATTACTGGAAGTGGTCATGAAACATCTATAACTTTCATCAACACGAATCAAAAATCTTAACAGTAAAACAGAGAAAGAAATGCAGTTGAGTTAAATATTACTGGAGTTTCTACTTCCCATCCYCACTTCAAACCACAGGGGGTTTTCATCGATGTTTGTTTCACAAGGGCATGTAGTGGTAGGACAAGGGAGAATGGCCTTAAGCTGRAAGATTAGATATTGGAAAGAAATTCTGTACTATAAGGGTGGTGAGGCAGTGGAGCAGGTTGCCCAGAGAGGTTGTGGGCACCCCATACCTGGAGATGTTCAAGGCCAGGCTGGATGGGGTTCTGAGTAACCTGATCTAGTGGAAGGTGTCCCTGTCTGTGGCACATGATGATAAAGACCATCTAGTTAAGATCATTAAAATTCCTTCCAAACCATTCTAGAATTTTGTGATTATTTCTCCACCCAGTGGGTGTGACTGACAGGAAAGCATTGCAGAGGTCCCACCAGTAAGCCACACGTGTGACTTTTTGCATGTTCTGTAAAGAACAAAAAAAAAAAAACAAAACAAACCAAAAGAAAACTTTGAAAAAATAAACAATATTTCTGGGTTCTTTTAAGGCATGGTCCAAACTTGTGCCTGCCGAGAAGGTACAGAGCTCTTTGCATGATCCAAAGTGATACTCCTGGATATGGAATTATTTTCTGAGCTACTAAACCACCCCTGCTTATTTCAAGCATTTTACTCATCCATGCTATAACTGTCTGGATCATCACTCCTGGCTCTGTCACATCTTCCTTTATCCCCTTTGCTTTGTGTGCGTACTTTGGATTCAGTCATAGCACAGTATCAGTGTGATACAGAAGTTACTGAGACCCTCAGCAGGAGGCTGGGTTGAGAACAATTATCTGACAGAATTGTTTAGCAGTGCAGCCCAATCCATGTTACGACCCTTTTTCTAAATGTAGATCTAATGGCACATTAAAGTAATATTACATCTCATAAAGCCTGCTGGGTAAGAGTTCAGCAAGGTTCCCCTCACTCCCCTTCCGCACAGCAGTTCCTTTGTTACTGCCTCTTCTCTAGACCCTGTGATGGACGGGAATCCCGTGCTTATCTAGCACTAAAATGGGGCTGCCAAGATAATTTATGKGCCCTGTGGCCAACAAGAAATCTCAAGCCTCCTTGGGTTATCTCTAAGTCCTACTTTTTTTCCTGCCCATTGTGCCAGCTTGTCCTCTCAGATTTTACAGATGGCAGAAAAGGTTTGGGCAACACAGACATACATCCTTCAGAGCACTGCTTTTAAACAGTAGTCTAGTCCTGGCTTTGCCTGTGTCTCAGGTGGTGTTTCCAGACAGAAAGCAGAAATGCAAACATAGGACTGGGGTGAGAGGGAAAAGACAGGAGAAGGGAGAGGGGAGAGGACAGGTCCCCACGTTGAGCTGGGTTAGCTGGGGGATTGGAGGTTTGGTTGAGGTGTTCATGTGCAGGGCCAGCCCGATGGACCACCATCTCCTGGCTGGGGTGTGTGAGGAAAGGCTTCTCCCGGTTCTCTAGCATCTTCGGCTTTTGCCCTAGAAATCCAGGCTCGGCGCAAACCGCACGACAGCCCATGGCAGCCTTTCTCTGCAGGGCACAAGGGAGTGAAAGCGAAGGGTGCTCGCTACTGCCCAGGTCTGGGCAGGAAAAACACAGCTGCCTTTCCGCTGGGCCCTTCCAGGCCCCGAGCGACTGCATRCCGAGACACAGGTGGGATTTCTGCAGAAGACACCCGAGGCGCAGCACGGGAAACCCGGAGCCCTCTTCATTTCAGCGACTSTAGCCGAAAGGGCACGTGTTTGGGCTGCGGTGGATTTTGGGCTCCCCTCCCGCCCAACGAGCGCCGAACCGCGGRGCGGCTGCTGCTCCCGCCCGCCGCAGCGCGGGGTGCGATGCCGCGGGCACGGCGCGCCGAGTCCCCTCCGCCCGCGGGGCCCAACGCGGCTGCGCTCCCCGGAGCCGGGTTGCGCGGAGGGTCCCACGGGCCACAGGAGATGCGGGGAGCCCTGGACGGRGGCGCCCCGGGGGAGCGCGGCCCCTCCGCTCCGCCAGGCGGGGGCCGGGCGGCGGGGGAGGCGACGGAAAGGTTTCGCTCTCCATTTCTGAGGGAAAGCCCGGTCCAGCGGCGGCCACGTGTCCCGCAGGGATCCCGCCGGGCCCCGCCGGCCGGAGCGGCGCAAAGTGCGCGGTACCGCCGCTCCTCCTCCGCTCGGCCGGCAGCGCGGGCGAGGTGGCGRAGGGGATGTCCGCCGGGGGCGCGGAGGCCGCCAGCCCCCGCCACGGCCCTGCGCGCGCTTCTTGCTCCAATAAGCAATAATTAGGTCCTCAGCTAATGAAGTGTCAGCTGATCCGCTCGCTCCGTCTGCGCGCGGGGAGGCGGGGGGGGGCTGCGCCCGGAGACATCGCCATGGAAACGCTGCCCTCGCCTCTCTCCCCCTCGCCGCATCCCCCCCACCCCCCGTCGGCCCGGGCCGGGTGCGCGCCGTCCCCCGCGCCCCGCCGCGCCCGCGGAGGCGGGAGCATCCCGACATGGGACAGCGCTGCCCGTCACCGCGCCGCGCCGCCGTCGCCACAGAAACTTTTGTCCCGGCGGCCAATCAGGGCGCGGGGGGGGCGCGGAGCGGCGCTGGGCCCGGCCCGGTGCGC